TCGCAGAAGCTGTAACACCTGCCTGTTTACCTCCACTAAGAACCCAGACACCTTCCAGGTCAAGTAGTGATTTACCTGTACTTCAGTAAATCTAGTCTACTGTATTCACTGTTCACAATCTGATCTCCTCCACATCATGGAGATAAAATGCAGACTGGGTGACCATTTTGCAGGTCACCTACATTCTGTCTGTAAAAATGACCGAGATTCCAGATGCCTGCCACTTTAACACATCACTGTGTCTCATGCTCTGTCGCAGGTCTACTGCGGTCTTCCAGCAAGCCTCAGCGCGAGCTCAAAGAACTGCATCTTACTTTCCGCTTGGGGACCCTGCAGCCTCTAGGCCTCTACATCGAGTTCAATAACTTTGCACCCTGATTCTGTCCTTCCATTTTTTTTTTAAACCAACCTCCACACCCTAGTCCTATCATGATATTGGGTAGGCTCTGCTGAAAACAACCACTCTCTCCTATTCTCAGCTCTCTATCACTTATTCAGCTTCTCTGCTGTCCTGGCCTATTCTTGTCTGCCTAGAAGTTGATACACGGTCAGATTCTAAACAAGGTCTTACACCTGAAATACATTGTCTGACCTCTGATGTCACCTCTGGTCTACTGAGGGAACTGATAAAACCTTTAGTTATTTCAGAGCAGTGACTTGAAAGAAATTCAGGAATTTGCGTATTAATACTTTCTAATTGATTAAAGATTTAATAGCCATGTTAGGGACGGCACGGTGGCTCAGTGGTTAGCACTGCTGCCTCACAGCACCAGGGACCCAGGTTTGATTCCAGTCTCGGGCGACTGTCTGTGTGGAGTTTGCACATTCTCCCCGTGACTGCGGAGGTTTTCTCTAGGTGCTCCAGTTTCCTCCCACAGTCCAAAGATGTGCAGGTTAGGTGGATTGGTCATGTTAAATTGCCCATAGTGTTCAGGGATGTGTAGATTACGTGGGTTATAGGGGGATGGGTCTGGGCGGGATGCTCTGAGGGTCGGTGTGGACTTGTTGGGCCGCAGGGCTTGTTTCCACACTGTAGGGATTCTATGATCTATGACTCTATGATCTATGAACGCCGCATCAGTTCTATGACCCTTTGATTTTTTGCTTATAAATTCTGTGTCTGATGTCACCTCTCTCACTGACACCAGGAGCGAGACTCTGCAAGCTTGTGATTTCAAATAAACCTGTTGGGCTATAATCTGGTGTCGTGTGATTTTGGGCCTTGACCACCCCAGTCCAATACCAGCACTTCCACATCACATCTGAAAATAGGACAAATGGCCAAAGAAGTTTTTTTTTTAAAAAAGTTGTCAAAGGAAGGAAGTGAGACAGAGACAGGGAAGTATAGGGAAGGAAATTTGAGAGTGTTAGGGGCTGAGGCAGCTGAACGCATAGCCACGAAAGGTGGAGCAATTAAGATCAGGGATACTTAAGGCTGAATTAGAGGGTTATAGTTCTGAGGTTTATTGGCATGCAAGAGGTTCCAGATATTGGCCAGGATGCTGGGGACACCCCCTAACTTTTATTTGGAAAAATGTCACAGGATATTTTATGTCCACCTGAAAGGCAGGGTTGAACTTTAACATTCTATTCAAAAGAAAACACCTTAAACAATGCAAACTTCTGTAGTACTACAGTGAAGTGTCAGCCTTGAATTTTGTGCTCACATCTTGGAGTGAGGCCAACAGCATAAAATGCTGGAAATATTCAGGTCAGGCTGTGGAAATAAAAACACAGGTCACTGACCTAAACATCAACTGTAAAGAGAAGTCATAACGTTATCTGGGGATTTTCACTGCAGGTTCCCAGCCTCTGTGTCCAAGTCCTCAAATAACAGGAAATTAACAGTCAATTCAGTACTTACACTGAATAACCTATGATTAGAATTTGTGAAACATTAGCATTATGTTGGAACACCTTCATCATAACTGATTTCTGGACGCAAAATAATTAACTCTTAAAAGTCTAAGATCTTGTGACTGAGGTTAATCTGTTCTCCACATGTCTGCAGCCTTTGACAATTGACTGCACAAGCTTCAAGCTAGTTACACACCTTCACACCATCATCTTCCTACTGGATGGGTCAGCATTCAACTGACTATTTTTGACCAGGTGATTGCCTTCAATTGCTTCTTTTCCCATTTATGCAGTTACCTTTGGAATCTCCCAATGGTTTATCTTTGGATGTCTATTTCTCATCTATAGCTGCCCCTTAGCAACATTAGAATTTCCTCATCTCAAGCTGATAACACCCAGTTCTACTTCACCAGTGCCTCTGTCTGCTGTCTATAAAATGTCAAATAAACAGTCTGACATTCATTAATGAAGGAGGAGAAATTTCTTCCAATTAAATATCAATCTTTGATCCACACCACAAACCTCAGCATTAACTCCATCCCTCTCACTGCCAAGCAACTCAGATGCAGCTAAGTAATCAGTCTTTGTGTTGTCCTTGACTTTAATCGAAATACCATGCCACATAGCAATACCATCACCAAGGCTGCATATTCCCACCTCTAACATCACCCATTTCTACCCCATCTCAGTTTATACGTTGCTGAAACCCTCATCCATGTTTTGCTATTCAAGATATTGTATTATGATCTTCTTTACTAACTCACTCACAAGCGCACAATGTTTACTATGCCGCATTTCCATTCACTCATTCATAAAACCACGTTAAACTAAATTAAACAACCCTTCCAACCCATTACTGCTTCTTTATACCTTTCGATTCTTATCGACTCCATGCTACAAGCAAGCGTTTAGACCCGTTTCTGTACTTAAGGCTACCCTTGAATAAGTGTTAATACCATAATCTACTCGGAACAATGGCACCACCATTGGTCTCACTCGAGACCTGAACAGGTTGCAGAACATCAAAGTTTCCTCCACTAGTATGTACTTTTTAAATACATATTAAATACGGCCACTAGCTCTTTAATAAACATACTAACAAAACAGTGCTTCCATGAAACTGCATGAATGAATCTGTAAGAACTGTCACAACCAGCAGTAAATGAAATCCCATGACCCAGCTGCAGGAGATCAGTTTAATATCCTCTATACTTTTATTTAGTATGCATATAATTTCTCACATTTAGATCATATAGGTCTGGTATTTTTACTAACTTTAAGAGGAAAAAGGACTAACTCCTCTTAATTATGCAAGCTCAGACCTGACAGACATTCTAATTCCATCAGGAGTAACAGCCAACATTTAGCAAGTGCTTAAACCATCTCCTGTTCCCCCAGGACAGATGTCATGCAAACTTGTGTACAATAGATACAATTATGCGTCACCATAATGCTAAAATTTTAATGTATGTAAACTAACTGTGCATAAAAGAAGCTACTGTAAAACCTGTACTTCGGATCCCATCGCCACCCCGAATGGTGCTACTGCGGATGCTCGATAAAGAGGCTATTTTCGTCACCCACCGATCTCGGTCATTAGTAAACATGATCCCACAGTTATCTCTAACCTGCTCACATAAATATACAGCCTCCCATATTCTACCTTCTGCAAACTTGAGATAATTCAAAACTTCAGTGTTCACTGACCTACACTGGCTCAGAGTTAAATAATTCCTTGATTCCAAAATTCTAATCCTTATTTTCAAACAGTTCTAAGGATCTTCCCACCCAATCACTAAGAAATGTTGCCAGAATTCACCAAAGGCTATTTGAGGAAGTTTGACAACCGTACTGGATATAATTTAAAATAGCTAGAGATTAAAAAAAAACTGTTCTTTTTCACTGTGGTTCAAGGAGGGCAGGAGTCTCAATTGCCTACAGATGGAAGGCAAGGGAAGACGGGTATATGGAAATTCATGGAGATTACTTCAAGAGAATTTGCTTCAATGTAAAATTGGGTCGCACACTTCCAGGGTGCCTTCAGAAGCCACCGGGCAGAACGCTACCAAATTCTGGGATTTTTCCATTTGGCTAAATTTGAATTGTGATCATGAAGCAGCCAAACACTCTCATTGTTTTTCAGACGAGACTTTAAACAGACACCCAACCTACCTGCTTGGGTGGATGTAACAGATTCTAAAGCACTACTCAAAGAGGAGCAGGGAAGTTATCCCTGGTCTTATGATCAGTTGTCAGCACCAAGAGATCTAATGTTCAGATTACAAAAAAGACACTATTCTGAAGTTGTGGAATGATTGTAGCAGCTACATGCCATTTCATCACTATGGCATTGTTTCAGATATATAGAGGGTTCACATGGGTGCTATTCTTTGCCTTGTTAGCAAATATCTGTTTTATAACATTTCTCCAATCTCTGTCTTGCTTTGGGGTCCTCCCACCTTTTGCTTGTTTTACAAAAGCCTGACCCATTCCTTCTAAAGGATGGACTTGACTCAAGCTACATGAAATTAGCGACATTTGCCCATGTCTGCCTGCGGACAACATTTAAAATCTTCAGAAAAAGCACAAAGGATTGCTGAGAAAACACATTCTGAGGAACTTTTCATCTAGCACTCATCATGAAAGAACAGAGAAGCTTTAAGAAAGGAATAGGGGTGCGGGTCTAAATGCAGACAGACATTCGTAGACAGAAGAAGCATGCATACACATTGCGCCGGTTTCAACTAAATAAAACAGATAACATACATTCTCTGGTTCATTCCCCAGGACAATGTCTCGAATAATCAGTCAACCTCCCTGGGTTTAATTTAAACAGAACATGGCAATTAACCGTCAGTCATCCTCGAACTGCCAAACAGTCAGCATGCTGTTCTCATATAGTACAAAAAACATTTTTCCCCTTAACACTGACATTCTTGAGAATTGTCCTGATGAATGCAAACTAAAATCTTCAAAACTTTATCACCAATACTCAGTTCTGTACTTCAAGTGATTTATAAGCACAAAAAGGTTTTTTTTAATTTTGAGATCTGCAAAACGAATGGTGGGTTGTCCATTCACATTTGCTCGTACACTGCAGTGAAGTCTCATTGCTGTGGCACTGCTATCAACACAAGACAACCACTCAACAAATCTGAAACTCACCCACGTGCACGTCCCACTACATCTTTCTTCTCTAGCCAGTGTTGTCCCTGTTTGTACAAGCCTCGGTCATCAACAGAATTGTTGTCACCCTTCGTCAAGAACTTGATGTCTCCATTTTCCCTAGAACAACAGTACATATGAGTTTTGTCACATGGTTTTCACAATCTGCAAAAAAACCTAGGAGATGTTTGATGTATGATATAGAAATTTTGAAAATCTGTCGGTTAGGCTAAAGAACTTACATCTTTATAGCATTTTTAATGTGATGATTAATGTTACAAGGCACTTCACAAGAATGTTATCAAACAAGTCTGCTACTAAACCACACAAGACATTTTGGCACCGGGTCAGTTTTATGCAGCATCTTAAAGGAGCAGGGAGAAACAGAAGGGCAGAGAGGTTCAGGGAAGTAATTCCAGAGCTTAGGGCCCCAGCAGCTGAAGCATGGCTGCCAATGATAAGATGATGGAAACTTGTGATATGCAAGGGGATACAATTGGCAGACTGCAGTACTCAAAGCTGCATAGGCCTTTATAGGGGAGGTCACAAAGATAGGAATGGTTAAAAAAAACACAAGCGATTTTTTAATGAAAAACTTCAAATTTTTGTTTGAAATTAGCATAAAGCAGCCAAGACACATCCAAACTGAGCTGCAGAAAAACTGATCCAGGGACTTTAGCCAAAGAAACTCCAACAGAGAATTGGAACAGGATAGATAAAAAGTAAAGTTGGTCTATTTTCACAAGATTCGATATTGCCACAAAACATACATAAACTCAAACAAACAAACACAGATAATGCTGGAGAAACAGCAGCTGTGGACACAGAAACAGAGTTAAAGTTCTGAGTCCGCAATGACTCTTCTTCAAAATTGAAAAGGTGTTGGAAAATGTTTTATTAAAAAGAAAATTTTGAAAGAGGCAAAGGAGGAGCAAGGGGATAGATGGTGTTGAGGTCCAGTGCAAAAGACAAAGGAATTGTTAATGGTGGTGAAAGAAAAATGGTTGCAAGTTAAGATGCAAAGGGACAGAATGGGTTCTCTTCATTAAGAGCGAAGTAAAGAAGACAGAAAGAAAACAAGGCAATGGAGGGGATAGCAAGTAAAATGTAGAACAGACAACGTGCAGTCAGTTGCTGAAGTTATAGAAATGTTCACCTCAAGGCTGGAAAGTGCCCAAGAGGAAAATGAGGTGTTGTTCCTGGAGCGTGCATTGTGCTTTGTTGGAACACTGCAGCAAGTGTAGGACAGAAATGTTAGCCTGAGAGTAAGGTGGTTTATTGAAATGGGAAGCAACTGAGAGGTCAGGGTCATTCCCATAGACAGAGCAGAGGTGTTCTGCAAAGTGTCAGTTGCCTTTGGTCATACCCAATGTAAAGAAGACTGAATTTTGAGCGGCTTTGGACAGTGAGGAGGGAGGTGGTGAATAGGCAAGTTGTACATCTTCTGGAATTGCATGGTAAGGTGTTATGAGGGAGTGAGAAAGCACTGGAGTTATGGAAGAGGGGATCATGGGGAACAATCCCTGCAGTATGCTGACAGTTTGGAGGGGGGGGTTACCCGGTTGGTGGGGCATATTGCTGGAGGTAGCAGAAATAATGGAGGATGATATTTTGAATGCAGAGTAGTAGGTGGAAAGTAAGGACAAGGGAAATCCTAACATCCTTCTGGGAAGGAGGGGAAAAGGGTGGGGACCCTGTCAACTACCATAGGTGGGGAATGTTCAGTTGAAGAGAAAGATCATGTTACAGCAACCTGATGAAAAGTAGCATCATCACAACAGATAGGACAGTGACAGAGAAACTGGGAGAATGAAAATGGAATCCTTGCAGGAAGCAGAATGTGAGGTGGTGTAATTGAGGTAACTGAGGGGTGTGGGCTTTGGTAGATATTGGCTGGCAACCTATTCTCAGAAATGGAAACAGTGAAGTCAAAGGGAAGAGTCAGACCGACTGGGACAGAAGAGGGAGTAGGATGGAGAAATTGGAAGCAAAATTGATGAAATCTTTCCAATTCCAGACAAGAATAGGAAGCAGCACTAAAGACATTGACGTATTGGAGAAAGAGCAGGAAGAGAAAGGGATAAAGATCTCTAATTAGTTAGTTATTGTGCCATGAACATCAGACAGGAAAATTCCTTTGGAATAGGCAGGAAGGATAAATATACCCACAGTCAAACTATCCTGCTCTGCACTAAGCTGTCCAGAGGTGTTAGCTTAAGTAAGACAACACTTATAAACAATGACATCCTGTTCACAAGCTATCAGAATAGAAACATACTTCTCATGAATTTTCAGCACTCTGTGTACTATTGGAATTTCTCGTCCTTCAATTCTGAAAACCACAATCTCACCAACTCGGATGGGATCTTCTATGCGGTTGGTCAGGAACAGAAGGTCACCTCTGTGGAAGGCAGGTTCCATACTCCCACTGAAACGAGAGAGATAATATCAGATTATCAGTTGCTGCTTTTCCAGCTGAGAAAGGCAAGGGACATTTTACAGAATACTGGGATGAAATCAAGATTTCAAAGCTTGTTTTCATCCCCATTACAAGAAAGCTCCCACCAGCGTTTGCAGCACTTTAGTGCCTTGCCAGATTAGTACGTCAATTCCTCCAATGGCTCATCACTGACTCTCACAGCTGGTAAATGTCACTGGATTACAACAAGCAAATCCACTGGTCCAGAATCCATTTGTCAGTTTGTTGTCAAATAATATTTTAGAATCATACTGAGTTAATTAGGATTGGTGGTTTATTCAAATACAACTGCTTCTTCAACACTGACCACTTAGTATAAATTATACATTAGCCATTTAAACAGTTTGCTCATTGAGTCAAACATATTTAGTAGCTGAAAATGCTAGAGAAACAGCAGGTTAGAGAGCAGTTGTCAAGTCAGCAATTCACATTGATGTACTTTACTCACTGACCTGAAACCATTAACCCTGTTTTTCTCTCTCTCCACAGAGGGTGCCTATTATACAGAATACAGCCTGCATTTTGTATTAATATTTATTACATGCTTACTTAGGCTCATTCTGCCCTTCTGTGGCTGAGATCAGATACATATCCCACTTGCACCATTAAGTTGTACTTGGCTTATTAACAAAATGGTAATTGAATCAGAGATTTCTTTAGTCCCTATAGTTTAGTACATTATTCAGTGTAAATCGTGGCTTCAGCAGTATTTAACAGCAACCTGAAATTATTCACAAAACTGCAAGAACTTTAAGAACTCTAACTACTAACCTGGGCAGAAGAAGATACAGGTTTCAAAATTATAGCTCCACACTGAATAATGGAGCAAAATTGTGATTTTTCAAGGAAAGAGAGCAATTAATATTCATTTCCAGGCTAATTATCAAGGGAAATGGCATATATCTACTCTATTAAGACATCATTGTAGGAAGTTAATATGATAGTTCATTATTTCCATGTTTATATGGCCATTGTCAATTTATAATTTAATTCATAGATTACATTTTGTACACTCAAAAAATTCGTCAGCATTCAGCACTGAGAATCACTGTACTGCAACAGTTACTGCTGCATATGTGCAGTATTTAAAATAAAGTAACAGAGCCTCAGCTAAGAAGAAAGAAAGATACTCGCATTTATACATGGCCATATCACCTGTGCTTTGCAATCAACTTTTTGAATCATAGACATTGGCGGCAACTTAATGCCAGAGTTATACGAACTGTGTAACGTCTCAAGTAGAAGACAGCAGAGCATTGAAACAATATCTAAATGATCTGTCCACAGTGAGGCTTGCAACCACAATGTTCTGACCCAAGGGTACTATTGATTAAGCCAAGCTGAAATATGATATGAAGCACATCTAAATGTGAATCTGCAAGCATGTGGACTTTTTTTTAAGAAAAAGAAACACTTCACGCTTGACTGTTAAAATATCTCGTCTCAGCCTACAGATCAATGCAATTTTGCAGCATCTTACAGCAAAATGGGCAGCCAGTCAAGTGGCAGTTATGACCTTTTGGAAACTATTCAGTTAGGCCCCTCTCCATTTGAAAAACATGCAATGTCACAATTCTATTCATAATTGATGTCCGAATTTTTATACCTACATTCCTGTAACCTAACGGGATCTATTTTCTACTGCATTCTTGATAGACGTCAGGCTGGATTCTGCAGGCATGTTATAGAGGTGGCTGCATGCTGAGGAACGATGCTCAGAATTAAGGAGACCATCCCTTTTAACAGGTTTGGAGATTTGAAGAATCATCGACAATTCATATATGAATGAAAGAACAACCGATTATCACCTACCTGAGTACAACTACAATCGGACTTTCACTTCCAGTCAGAACCATTAATCCTTTCCAGATCATCAGTGCAGAAGACACGATCATACCAAAATTCAAGACCTGATAGTACAACTGGGACAAGAATCAATTCATTAAGCAAGCCAATATTTCTGCAAAGACCATTCACAAGTTCGCACCTAATTTTCATATTTAACACACCTGGAAAACTGCCTGTGTCATCACCGCTACCCTTCCAAGCAAACAGACCACCAATGGCACAGTGGAAACTGGAGAGGGTACAGCACCAATAGTCAGTGCATGACTAATTTTGAAGAGCAGAGATAAAAATAATAACAACGGAAAAACCCAAATTAATTGTGTTCAAATTAGATTCAGGTAATAACCAAAAAAAAATTTAGAACCCATGATAATTGTTTGTTAAAAGTTTGAAATTTAATATTTAGTCAAATGTCTAACAAACAAACAGTCTGTAAGACTTTGCCCAAACACACACTAATTTAGGCAGAGCAGGTCCATGACTCCTCCAACGTCACTCAATTGTGCAGCAAGATAGTACAGAACAGAAACTCAGTAATGACATTTCTCAGTTTCTCCCCAAGTTTCACTTCTTATCTAGAATATTGTATTTTCCAAAATAAATGATTAATAATTTATTGAAGTAGCATCACGTCACATGGCATTTAAGCTGGTGTTCAAACATATCACTACTTCCAAATCACCTTTAATTTAAAACTTGTACTACACATTTGTCACCTGTGCAGTGTTAGACCATATGATTGATACAATACTCTTGTGGGGGGAACACATGGACTTTAGTGTGTTGGCTCAAGTGCTATTAAAGGGGACATGCTCAGGAAGACTTGCCTATCAAAAAATATGTCACTTACAGTACAGAATCAGCTGGTTAGGGTTCCCTCATTATGGAAAACCTGTAGTAGCCCTGTGTTAGGTTGCAACACTAGAACAGGCAAGACAATTTTAAATCACAGGAAGAAATTACTTCCTGAGCTAGGAACTTACAGCTGATTAATAAAACGGAACCACGTCTCATTGAGGCAGCACACAGATCAAATTTGAAGAAATCCAGTCAAAAAAACAAAGAGTTGAAAAATAAACTATGGCTAGATTTTCTGTGATCAAACAAACAGCAAACCAGTGGTCAGAGAATGACTGTAGAATTTTATGGTTGTTTGCTCAGCAATATGTCGGTAGAACATGTGGATGGCACAGTGCCCCTATAGGGCACTGGGACCTGTGAACAGAATAAGCAAGTGCACATTCCTTTAACCAGATTAAAGAAATATTAAGGAGCAACGCAGAGTCTGCATCAGAAACTGCAGGACAGAATCAGAATTCAACCCAAACAGATACAGTGGAGGAAATACAGGTTGGCCCTTTCTTTCTTGATCCAAAAGAAAATGTTTTATTAAAAACACCTTCTTTGATAATTAAAAGCTGAAGGAATCAGACTCTTCACTTGTTAATGTTAATTATTAGTCCCAGAGAGGTTGTTTGCAGTAACTGAGACATGGGGCTGTTAAACTGATTTTGGACTGAATGCTTTGATAATAACTTCATGTGGTGAATTAAGTCCATATCCATGATGCTAGGACAGGAACTTTGCTCCATTTCATACATTTGAATTGACAGTCAGAGGGAAGATGTGATTTTTGTACAGCTAATCGCACAGCACTAATCTTGGGGCAACAACTTCTAGAGATTTTTACATTCAACTCCATACGTACACTCAATGGTAACTGCAGTCCAGTTTTTGCGTAGATAATAAGATGGCTGTTAGCCTCACTTCCATGCATCAAAAACTAGCCTCTGTATAAAAGTCCAACTTAAGCTAGTAGGTGGGCTACCAGATGAGAAATACTTTTAAAACGCAGCTAGATTGTTGTAAAGATTCATCTGGTTCACTAATAACCTTCAGGAAAGGGAACGTAGCACTCTTACCCAGCCTGGTCTGCGCATGACTTACATAAACATAACATGGTTGGATCACAGCCCTGAACTGTGCACTAAATGTGTTTAACTCAGAGCAATCACACATTCTCAGTAACTTAGAACAGGCAAAACGTGTGACCATTTCACCCATAGCAAAAAGATCAAATTTCGAAAGTAGCAGCCACTTGTACAAATACACATTTTTGTTAAGCACTTGAATGATTGCGTTTTTATTTCTGGCTTCTTTTCAAAGCCTGCACTTAGACAGCTGCTAACGAGAGAAATTTCCCTTCGTAATCCAGCCAGGTGGTACTCAAAACATAATTACTTGCTCCAATATTCACGGTCAAACAAGGAATTCAGTACACACTGAAACAAAGATCTATTTTAGCAGCAATGATCACTCTCTATACTTTGGACTATCCATGTACAACTGCACAAGTTGATCTCTTGCAGTGAGGCATTTATCCATGTCTTAGGCCAGCAGAAATAGTAACCAGCAGATCGGGGGCGGGGGGGTGAATATCTTACTACATTTCTGGTCAGATTTGTGCATAGAAAGTGGGATAACCAACAACGCTATTATCAAAGTCAACACAGTGTGGAGTTGGAGGAACACAGCAGGTCAGACAGCAGAGGAGCAGGAAAGTTGACATTTTGGGTCAGGACCCTATCTCGTTTTATGTATCAAAATCTATTTTCCCCCATTAGAATACTTAGGCATTGTTTTCAACCAGCGCAGACTCAATGGGTCAGTCGGCCTGTGCTGCAGTCCTCTCTGACTATGATCTTTGTATTTATTATGCAGCATAATGGTAACGTCACCAGTAATCCCAAGGCCCAGGATAACACTGTGGGGACATGGTTCAAATCCCGTACCATAAATTACTGGAATGTAAATTTAGCTGATAAATCTGGAATTGAAAATTGGGTTCAGTAATGGTGAATGAGAATTACTATATTGTTGTAAAAACGATATATGGTTCACAGATGCTCTCTAGAAAAGGAAAACTGCCATCTGTACCTCATCTAGCCTACATTGCAACTCCAGAACCACAATATTATTGATTCACAATTGCCCTTCAAAATGGCCAAGCAAGTCACTCAGTCCTGGGGAAATGGGAGCTGGGCAACAAAAATCAGACTTGCCAGTGGTGCCCTCAACCAATGCAAGGAAAATTTTTAAAAATTCAGTTGATTTACAGTGGAGATAGAGCATCAGAATAATAATAATCCAGGACATGAATCTACAAAAAAGTTCACTCAACATTGCGTTTTGACAACTGGAACCAAAGAACGAGGCCATGTAGCCCATTGAGTCCACACTAGTGAAAAAAATGCTGAGACCTTTTGACAAATCAGTACTGACCTGCCAACATCACCTCCCTTGACAGGAGCACAAAGCTTATTTCAAAACCAACTCTCAACTTGTTTTGCAATTAAAGTATCTCAAAGATCCAAATCAATCAAAACTCCAAAATATGACTCAAACATGCACCTGCCTATTGCTACAGCCGCTCTAGGATGCGATTTGTTGGCAGCAACTGCAATACAAGTAGTAGGGCGGTGAGGTTGACCAAGGAACCATTGGAGTTCCATAGATGGGCATAAGAATCAGAAGCCAGGAGGAGTGTGCAGGAAGGTAAAGTCACTATATAAATGCAGAGGCCGCCCCTGAAGCCAGCAGGAACGTACAGAATGAAAAAGTTGCTATATAAAAGCAGAGATCATTCCAGAAACCAGTGCGTGTGTGAAGCACTGTAAAGTTGCTATACAAATGCAGTGGTTGGCCAGAAGGCTGGTGGGAGGTCAGTGAAGTCAGAGGTCAGCGTGAAAGCCAGCGGTAGCGTGCAGGACGATAAAGTCGCTATATAAATGCAGGGGTCACCGCTGGGACCTGGTGAGTGTGTGCAGGACGGTAAAGTAGCTATATAAATGCAGAGGCCACTCCCAGGGACTGGTGGGAGTATGGGTGGGACTAGGTCGAGCAGGGGGCCTGATTTCATCGGAGCCGCGGGTGGGATCCAGGGCGCGATTTTCTGGCGGCGCTCGCCACTTTCCGGCCCCGGGGTGGGAGGGAACTCACCTGCCGCTTGTTCATCCGCCGCACATCGTTGAGAAAATCTAGCGACATCATCTTTGCGAGCGGAGGCAGGGGCAGGGTGAAGGGGGAGGGAAAGGGAAGGAGAACAAAAACACGGAGCCTCCAACCGCCGCCGCTCGAGCTACCGGAAGCTCGGGCTCCACCGGAAGTCTAGGCCTCACCAGGAAAGCCGCCGCACTGCCTTCTGGGAGATTTAAAGGTACACTCCTCTCCAGCAGCCAGCTCTCTTGTCCAATGAGTGACTGCCAGGTTTTACTGGCCCAGAGCTGCCAAGTGGCCTTAGGTCACTCATTCATCAGGATGGGCTTCTTAGGATAAAATTTGCTTTTGCAACATCTTTGCAGATGGCTGAGATCATTTTGTATAAAAGTTGCAACTTGAAATCCCCTTTTTCTATGCAAAAGAAATATTTTTTCATTTTCCTCACCTTGCAGTTGATTGCAAAGTTCAACACATCTGTCACTGTAGGAAATAAAAACCTGGATTGATAAAGAACTTTCCACAAGTGGCTACCTCTACATCGGGGAAACCAAGCGGAGACTCGGAGACCGCTTTGCGGAACACCTACGCTCGGTTCGCAATAAACAACTACACCTCCCAGTCGCGAACCATTTCAACTCCCCCTCCCATTCCTCAGACGACATGTCCATCCTGGGCCTCCTGCAGTGCCACAACGATGCCACCCGAAGGTTGCAGGAACAGCAACTCATATTCCGCTTGGGAACCCTGCAGCCCAATGGTATCAATGTGGATTTCACAAGTTTCAAAATCTCCCCTCCCCCTACCGCATCCCAAAACCAGTCCAGCTCGTCCCTGCCTCCCTAACCTGTTCTTCCTCCCACCTATCCCCTCCTCCCACCTCAAGCCGCACCTCCATCTCCTACCGACTAACCTCATCCCACCCCCTTGACCTGTCCGTCCTCCCTGGACTGACCAATCCCCTTCCTAACTCCCCACCTACACTCACCTTTACTGGCCCCATCCCCGCCTCTTCGACCTGTTTGTTTCCTCTCCTCTATCCATCTTCTATCCGCCTCCCACTCTCTCCCTATTTATTTCAGAACCCCCTTCCCCTCCCTCTTTTCTGATGAAGGGTCTAGGCCTGAAACGTCAGCCTCTCTGCTCCTATGATGCTGCTTGGCCTACTGTGTTCATCCAGCCCTACACCTTGTTGCCACATCTTGAAACATTTTAGCCCTAATCTCAACTATTTCTTTGAAGTGTAGTCACTATTCTAATGCAGGAAAAGTGCCAAACACTACTGAGCACAGCAAGCTCCCATAAGCAACAGGGCAATGACCATTTGTGATGTTGATTGAGTATAAATTCTGGACTGGACACTGCAGGTAACACAAGGCAGACTGTGTAAACAAAATCAGGAACATAAACTGCTGGAAAAGCTCAGCAGGTCTGGCAGCATCTGTGGAAAGAAATCTGACTTAATATTTCAGGTCCAGAGACCCTTCCTCAAAACAGAGAGTATAAACAGAATGTTCTGTTATTTTGAAGGACATCAAATTGTTAGCAACTTTCACAACCCTCTTTGCTGATGCATTTGTTTAATTCAATTTTGCACCTCAGAATACAGATTTGAGTTGAAATAACCTGCGATTTGCTTCTATAACCAATTGGTGTGTCTCAATATCTGAACAAAAGGGAATGCAGAAAATCTGAAGTGAAAGTAGAAAATGCTGGATAGACCCAGCAGGTCCGAGCCACATCTGAGCACAGGGAACAAGTTGCAGAGTCTGCCCGTTGCTGCTGTACTGAGGGATCTGGATGTACATGAATCACAAAACATTAGTATGTGCGTGCAGCAAGTAATCAGGAAAGCAAGGGGAGTGTTGACCTTTATTGCAAGCAGGGGTGTGGAGTATTAAAGTAGGGAATTCTTGCTCTGGTAAGACTGCTGAAATGTGTCATTCTGGTGAGATATATCCATAGGAAACAGCTCAGAGAAGCTTTATGAGATGGTTTCCCTGGGATGAAGGGATTATCTTATGAGATAAAGTTGAGTAGATTGGGCCTGCGCTCACTGGAGTTCAGAAGGATGAGAGGTGATCTCATTAAAATATATAAGAACCCAAGGAAAATTAACAAGCTGGAAGCGGAGAGGATATTTGCTTCTTGTCTGGGAGTCTAGAATTAGGGGTCACTGTTTAAAAATAAAGGACTGTCATTTAGACAGAGCTGAAGCCATTTTTTTCTTTAGCCTGTGGAGTTCTCTCCCCCGAGAACAGCAGGGGTCATCATTGAACTTATTCGAGGCTGAGTTCGATAGTCTTTAATTGACAACAGGGAGGGCCAGGTAGGTAATTGGGATGGGGAGCACAACCAGATCAGCCATGATGTTATTGACAAAGGGTCAACTCCTGCTCCTAATTCCTGTCATCTTCTACTTTTATAATTCACCAGCCATGGTGGAGGAGGAGCGGAGGTGGGGTGCTGTTGACATGTGATAATCAACTCCACTTTAGTGTCTTTTCCCCATAACCCCAATCCCCTTACTGATTAAAAATGTGTCTGTCACAGCCTTGAATATACTGAATGACCCAGCAGCAACAAGCCTCTGTAGGAAAGAATTCCACAGATGCACTACCATCTGAGAAAAGAAATTCCTCCTCATCGCTGTCTTAAATGGGTGTCTACTTATTCTGAGAATGATGCCCTCTGGTCTTAGACACTTCCCCAAGGGGAAACAACCTTTCCACATCTACCCAGTCAAGCCCCCTAAGAATTGTGTATGTTTTAATAAGGTCAACTCTCATTCTTCTAAACTCCATTGAGTACAGGCCCAACCTACTCAACCTCTCCTTATAAGACAGTCCCTCCCTACTCGCGGTCAGTCGGGTGAACCTTCTCTGGACTATCTCCAATGCCGGTATATCATTCCTTCAATAAGGAGAAAAAACTACACACAGTATTCCAGCCATGGCCTGATGAGTGTCTTGTAAGCAGATTTTCCTAAAGCTAGACTTCAGATCAGATTGTCTGGCAGCTCTCTGAGGTGAGACGGAGCCCTGAGTGAGGAGTAAGACCCCCATCCCCAGCCAATGAACCCCTCCTCAGAGAACTGAGTGGGTGTGGGGTAGCTGGAGGGAGCAGGAATACATTCCCTGCTAATTCCTCAGGGAATGGAAACTCCACCTCTGACAGACCCTCATTCAGAAGGTGCTGCGATTTCTTTCCTCAGGTTTGGGGCTTGTTGTCCATTTTACCTCAAGATCTTGTCTTCCTGCTTCATTGGAATGTGAACAATAATGCATCTCTTAGGAAAATCCCATTGCGTTTCGCAAAGGCTCTTCATTACCTGAATGATGATTTATGAATGAATGAAGGATGATTTATTGTCACTTGTACTCTACAATGAACAACACAGTAAAATACAGTGAAAAGCTTCAACTGTCGTTATTTGAATATTTCAAAAATAAAAAGATAAACTGGAAGGAAGTTGATCTTTGTTCCGTGCCTCCACCATGAATCCTGAGCTGGGTGACCAATGACACCTGCATTGCCATCCCTTTACCTCCAGCTCAGTTTAGTTTTGACATTCCATTCCAATAAAAGAAGTTTTAAGATTGTAAATACCAGTTACTTTGTAAACAGCTCCATCTTTCATGCACATTTCCAATCAAACCTCCTCTGACCTGTAGGTTTAGATGGCAGGAATGCTTCTTAATCTTTTTTAAGATGGTTCTGTCAGTGATGAATGAATGATATTGTTGATCAAAGCTGGGCAATTCCAAGATTCTAACACTTGGTTTCAAACCTCTCCACAAACCAGGTCCTCACTGTCTCTGGAATATCCTCCATCCCTACGTTCTGCCTGGATCTCTGCACTCCTCCACTTCCAGCCTCTTGAGCTCTCCTTACATTAATCTCTGCACCATTGGCGGGGCCATGCCCTCTGCTCCCTGGGCCCCAAGCTTTGGGATTTACTTCCTACACTTCTCCACCTCACTGTCAGCCATGTGATTTGTGAGGCCTTATTAATACCCCTTTGTTTGGCTCAGCATCAATCTTTATCTTAATAACACTCCAAAGAACATGGAACAGGAGGCGGCTATTTGGCCTCTCAACCCTGCCCTGCCATTTAATACGATCATGGCTGATGTCATCTAAGCCTCAACTCTACTTTCCTGCCCACTCTCCATAACCCTTAAACCTGTTAGTAATTAAACCTGTCTCTCTCCTCCTTAAATTTACTCAGTGCCCCAGCATCTGCTACACTCTGAGGTAGAGAATTCCACAGATTCATGACGCTGAGACAAGTAATTCCTCCTTATCTGTTTTAAATCTGCTTCCTCCTCATCCAAAATCTGACTTCTCACTCTATATTGTCCACAAGAGGAAACTTCCTTTTGACGTCTGCTTTGTCAATCCTGTTTAGCATCTTATAGACCTCAATTAGATCTCCCCTCATTCCTCTAATCTCCAGTGAGTATAGGCTTCCACTGCTCAATCTCTCTTCCTAATACAAACCTTTCAACTGCTGTGAAAACTCCAGACAAAATTATAGTTTTAGTTCACAACCTGTCAGTAGTAACATGGATACAACACTGGCAGTGATAGGAAACAGGGGGGAATAGTCAATGGGTATTGTTTAAACTGGAATGGAGCTCCCCAGGGCTCGGTATTAGCTCTTCCTGATGTATATTAATGACATATTTCTTGGTGTGCGGGGGACAGTTTCAAAGTTTGCAGTTGACTCAAAACTTGGAAGAATTGTGAATTGTGAGGAGGACAGTGTAAGACTCCAGAAGAACTTAGACAAGGTGGTAGAGTGGGCAGATGAGTTTCAGTGCAGAGAATTGTGGGGTGGTGTGTTTTGGCAGGAAGAATTATGAAGGACGAAACTAAATGAGGGCTCAATTCTAAGAATGGGTGCAAGAACAGGGAGACCTGGTATATATGCACACAGATCATTGAAAGTAGCAGGACGAGTAGAGAAAGCGGTAAATAAAAAATACACTATCCTTAGATTTATTAATAGAGTATAGGAGTAAAGAGGTGATGTTGAACTTGTACAAGATACTTGTTAGATCTCAGCTGGAGTAGTGTATGCAGTTCTGTGCACCACCTTATGGAAAGATGTGAATGCATTCGAGACAGTGCAGAAGCAGTTTACTAGAATGGTTCCAGGGATGAGGAGCTTCAGCGATGA